CAGTTTCCTGTGCCATGTTTACCTCAGTCAGCTTCTTAGTATTTTTCCAGCCTGCCACACTCACCTGTCCTCAGTTGTAATCATCTAGCTGTTTCCTACTTCAACTCAGCCCTGCTTGTATTTGAGGATCTTCTCTTCATCACTTCAGCATCTGACCATTGCTTACATATTTGTTTTCACCTCGTACTCGTAGTTTTTTATTTTGTTAGCTTGTCACCACGTTGGCTTTTTTCTTTATAAAAGTCTTTTTAATTACTTTAAGTTTGGTCTGCCTGCCTGCCTGCATTTTGGGTTCTCCTCACCACCAAGCCGTAACAATAAAGTCTAAAAAACAAGAATGGAAGTCAATGGAAGGTCCCCACAGGGTTCAAAAACAAACGTGTGTGTGTGTGTATGTGTACACAGCGTGTGACACATACACACGTGTGTGACACACTTATTAAATGTAGTAATGAAAAAACACACATCAGCTTCAGTGTAGACTACCCTTCATGTGACATCCACACATGGATGTCACAGCATGTTAAGCTGTAAACAGATTTTAGCAACCTGGAGCACATGCTTTTTCTGTCACGACTAGGTGGTGAGGAGAACCCAAAATGCAGGCAGGCAGGCAGACCAAACTTAAAGTAATTAAAAAGACTTTTATAAAGAAAAAAGCCAACGTGGTGACAAGCTAACAAAATAAAAAACTACGAGTACGAGGTGAAAACAAACATGGGTAAGCAATGGTTGGACACTGAAGTGATGAAGAGAAGATCCTTAAATACAAACAGGGCTGAGTGGAAGTAGGAAACAGCTCGGTGATTACAACTGAGGACAGGTGAGTGTGGCAGGCTGGAAAAATACTAAGAAGCTGACTGAGGTAAACATGGCACAGGAAACTGAAAACAGGAAATGAGAAAATAAGACAATACCAAACAATGAAAAACAATCGGAAAAATATTACCAAAAATTACCAAAACACAAGAATCATAACATTTATAGCCTAACCCTGACCATATACCCTAAAATTAACCTCACAGGTACCTACCTGACCCTAAAACTAACCTAAACTTGGGTCCTAAACCTAACCCCACACCCGTAATTGACCCGTGGGGACCAAGCCCACGATTCACTTCGGTCCCAACAAAGGCTGCTTTTTTTGGAGGGGAAAATTGTCCACATGTTGAAGGAAAAACCCATACACACACACACACACACACACACACACACACACGCACACATACACAAAATATCTCTCTATCCTTGTGGGAGCTTTCCATTGACTTTCATTCTTCTTTTTTTTTTGGAAATTTTATATTCTAACCCTGACCAGTTACTCTAAAATTAACCTCACAGGTACCTACCTGACCCTAAAACAAACCGAAACTCAATTCACACCTTGGTCCTAAACCTAACTCCCCCCACCCCACCCACCCAAAATCAGCGTCCGATGGGGACCGGGCTTTGGTCAGGGAGCATCTGGACCCCACGAGGCTGTACTTTCCTGAAAAATCATCCCCACCAAGTAGCAGAAACAAGGGCACACACACACACACAAATCTCCACCAGTATTTATTACAAGCTACTGGCCTCATCACTGCTGCATCACTGGACCTCGTATGTCCTAATTAAAACTCACTACATTGACCAGACATGTGGAAAAAAGGGAGGTAAGCAGCTGCTTGAGCTGATAGATTTGCAACATATTACTGAATCTGTGCAAAGAAACCTGATTGATATTAGCCCACCATATTAGAACACATGTAATAAAACAGACTGTTTTTATAAATGGTATTAGTTTAAAATACAGCCAGCCAAACCAGACACATATAGAATGTTGTCTCATAAACCAGACACAGATTTCGGGAGTTTGAGAGTAAATCTACATTGAATGTGAGTGAAATTTCTTCCTGCTGACAGGTTTTCCCTTTTTCGTCAAGAAGAGCAGGATTTTTGTGCTCAGTAGCCCATGGACAAGCTTGTTAAAAAATGGTTATTTTTGCAAAGCCTGCCATTCTGTCACTCAGCTGTCCTCTATTTTTTTGCAATGAAAAAACAGTGTGCATGCTCAGAATGTGAATGCACAGAAAATGTATTCTATTCTTGTTTTTTTTTCTGTCTATCCTGCTCACTCATCAACTCTTTTGGTGTCAAAAGATGTCTGACAAGTTGACTGTACGTGTGTTGTTACTTTTTTGCAAGCTAATAGTTAACGATAAATAGAAATTGTTGTAATATGTCATTTTTATGTACAAGTTTTTTTAGATGTGATTTAACTATAGAGACATACTGTAGTATTAAAAACACACAAGTATGTGACAAAAGCTGGTTATATCAGTACTTTTTATTAAAAAAAAACAAGAGCTAACAGATTACAAAGGCTCTGATAAAAGATAACACAATTCAGTGCCCCTAATTCTGTTTACTTTTTTTAATTTTTTATTGGAAACCAAGTGTACGCTTTGAAAAAAAAAATCATGCCATGTGTTTCTGCATATGCACTTTCACTTTAGGCAAAGCTAATTTTTGTGTTTTTTTATGTAATGAGAATAAAAAGTAGTGGAGTTTTAGTCTTCATCTAACTGATATTAAACTGCTTAACAGTTTAATTAATATACAATACACTCACTGACACACAAAACAAGCACCCAAATTGAGTGGTGGACATGAAACAGTTGGAAAATCAAGTGGCTGTGAAGCGATACAGATATAAACAGACATAAAGTTCATCCCACTTCGGTACTGTGTAGCACCTCCTGGACATGGCTTCAAGAGCCAATTCGATACATCTGTTGTGTCCACTCCTGAAGTAATTTGGCTCACAGCTGTTGGATCTACACATTGAGATCAAGCAGATCAGCACTGGGTTGAAGTTGACATCCATTCACACAGGGACAACTGGATAAACTGGACCTTAACAAGGCTTATGTAGCCCATGAACTCTTGTTGTGTAAGGATGGATGTTTACCTGTAAAACTTCACCAGGGTGCTGTCTAGGTGGAGTAAGACTTGTGGACACAGATGTCAGAGATCTGTGTCTCACGGTTCCACAGGTCCCTGCCAGAGGTCATCTACAGTCAGACCACTCACCACACCATGTGAGATGATAATACCTCAGCAAGTATGTTTTAGGCTATGTTCAGAACTTGGCTGCCATCTTGAAAGCCACCATACTGGATCAAGGGCAAGTTTTTCCAATGAGAAGTGGTCATTTAGCATCAACAAGGACCATATTTGTCTCAGAAATTGATTACTCCAATCAAATTTGCAATATTTCTGTTGGTTCAAAAATTATCAACACAGAAATAACTGGGAATACTGTCTGTGATGCACAGCTGTGTATTTGACGTGTTCATTGTGCGGTCCCTGGTGTTGAGCTTGTGTCAGTTCCCTCTTCATTTACCTGTGATGAACAACACAAGTTTTGAATTTTCTGTGTTGAAAACTTCTGAACCACAAGAGATATTGCACTTGATTGCAGCAATCCATTTCTGATATGATGTCTGGTCTTCTTTGAGCTTCATGACGCCCTTCCCATTGAAAAGATTTCCCCTTGATTGAATATGGCAGCTTTCAAGATGGCAGCCGTGTTCTTGATTTAACTTAAAAGATAGGTCCCTTCACCCATGACCTGCTGTATTCAGATATTTCATTTTCCCTTTCATTTCTGAAATAAAAGGATGTGCAGAGGTTTTTCACTCAGGTACAGCAGCACTCCAAACTCAGCCAATTCTGCCTGCACATCTCAGAACTCGTAGTTCAGCTGATGTCCTCAAGACATGGTGCAATACGACATGGGATGTTGTAAAGAATCTAGTACCTGTGTCCAGATTAAAGGCCCAGATCGCATAGAGTTCTCTAATAATTGGAACACAAACTAATTGTCTTATTTTAGTGTGGTCTGTCTTGAGTTGCCAGAATATTCACATTTGGATGTCCTTACGTACCCATTGGTTCCAACGTCAGACCACTGTAACATCTGTACAGCTCACATGCCAGTCAATACCATGATGTCTCATTCAATTCTACAGTTTAACACTTATAAGTACTCAATGAAATAATGGTAATGCTGTCTAATCCCTGCATAAAACATCATCTATAGCTATACTGAGCCTCACTGGAGTTTTGACGGACTAAACAGGACTTTTCTTTCTGGGTGCCTTTTTTTCCAGTAACTGTATTTTCTGAATATATTCTGTATTTATTTAGTGTTATAGTGTTCTACTTTCTCTTTTCAACTCTATGTCTAAAACATTTACCCTTTGCCAATGTGTGTTTTTCCTCTTTCAAGATGTATTTCAACGCCAGCATCAACAGCACAACTAAGCTGCTGAAGCCCCTGCTGGTGTTTGCTTTCTGCATGGCGGCAGGCCTCGCTGGCCTGACTCAGATAACGCAGCACCGCAGTCACCCAATAGATGTCTACGTGGGATATCTCATAGGAGCTGGCATTGGTGTCTATCTGGTTAGTACATGACAAGCATGGAGACATACAATTTAAGGGCCCAGCGTACTCGATCTGAAGCCAAGCAGTTGATTTTCGGTCATGTGGTTGTTAAGACGTATATTTTTGAGCACCTTTCGTAGCGCAGGAGACACACGGCACAGAGTTACAGGGAAACCCTACCGCCGCTGTGCACGTCGCAGCAGGGCGTTTCCTCCCATTGGACTCCACACTCTGTCCCTGCATCTGCCATTTGGCCTCATTTCTGTCATGATCCCCACACATTTCAGTAGCAAGAGTCCTCTGAGCACAATATCACCATCTGTGAGTTTTTGGCCATTTGACTATCTATATAAATGTCTGGAAGAGTCAAATAGATAGACAACTGCTCTCACATAGCTTCTGGAAGCAGAATTGTAGCAAAATGCTACCATTGTTGCATGAGTGCTTTTTCACAGGAACAAACACAAATTTCTGACCAGTCACACAATACTGAAATAAAAATAATTACCCCTTTTATGGTGGATTACAAAACTGTGAATTAGTTTTGCAATTGATCCCTCGCTTTTGTCTCGTGAAACGACTTCCAGCCTGTGTTTGTTTTCATTTAGAATTTTGTTTTATCCCCAGAGAATTCCAAACCAGCATGGTGGGAATGACAGCATCCTTTTAAACACACGTTTTAAATAGCACCATTGAGTCGTCTTGCTGATGCCAAATTGTTTTATTGTATTTGTTTTAACAACGTTTCCCCCCACCACCTCTCCTCCCTGTGTGGCTCCATATTTTTCTCTCTCAGCAGGTTATTTTTTTTATTTTTGACACTCTATATATAGCTTTTTCTATTACAAAGTGAAGAGAGGGGACGAATAATCCGATAAGAATTTTCAGAACAATTTCACACTTCGTTTTAAGAAAACTTGTCGCTACCATTTTCCACGCTTCTCCTTGCTTTTTATTCTGGAGTCTCTCACTTCGTTTTAAAAGGAGGACCATTTTCCTGCTGTCATTAAAGGATGAAGATGTGGGAAAATAGTGATTCATGCCGGCCTCGGGCGTAATTCGGAGGAGAGGAGAGGCCTATTCATGCCCACTAATAGAAAAAAAAAATCCTTTTTTTCCTCCTGAAGATTAAAGACAAGACTCTTTCATGGTCCAGTCTGTATTTAACACTTTAGGTGTTTGTGTCTCATCATTTATCTCCACTTCCCATGTGTCTCTTTCCTCTGTTAGGCTGTGTATGCTGTGGGAAACTTCAAAGCGTCAGAGGAAGATGATCCGTCTTTGCAGAGACTGGCTTCAGTTCAGCAGAAGGAGGGCCTGAGAGTTTTGAGCCAGCGCAGCCATGACTCCCTGTACAGGAAGACTCCCAGGGTGTCTGAGAGCAGGGAGGAGCTGGGGGCTGGGATGGGGGCCGGAGCACGCAGTAAGGTGAGAAGGGAGAAGGCCTCCTTGGCTTCCTTGAAACGGGCCAGCGCTGATGTGGAGCTCCTGGCAACCCGGGGTCCCATGGGCAAAGAGACCATGGTAACCTTCAGCAACACTTTGCCCCGAGTGGCAAACGGAAACAGCCCCATCTCTCCGTCCGATGAGCCCATCACCACGCAGCGTCACATGACCTTCCACGTGCCCTTCGACCCTCAGAGGTCTCGACAACTGGTGTCAGAGTGGAAGCAGCGCTCCCTGGAGCTCCGCAGCCAGAGCTCCAGGGACGAAGACGAGGGAGTCGGCGAAACCGACCAAGGGGTGGAGGGGGCAGCAGCTGCGGGGGACGGAGAAAACAAGGGGATGCCTTCATCTCTGTATCCCACCGTGCAGGCCAGCAACAGCGCGGCCACACCGGCTATGGCCCGGATGGCCGTGGCACCCCCTTTAGTTCACATCCCAGAAGAAGCCTCGCGGCCACCACCTGTCTCCCCGAAGAGCGCCAAGACGAGGGCCAAGTGGTTGTCACTCACAGAGGGGGCAGGAGTGAAGGAGCAGAAAGAACAGGGGGAAAGACCAGGACCCATTGCAGTGTCAACCCCTCGTGTACCCAACACACTGCCCAGCCAGCCCCCCAGCCAACAAAGAGTCACTCAGGTGAGGCAGAGATCAGACAAGAGATATTTGTGAAAAAAAAATTACATTATGGTACTTTGTTAGTGGGCAGCTGTGAGTCCTCCTCATTGCAAGATAACTTAGTTTAACTTTGGCATTACCTGTTGGACTCACCCTTTATTATGACCCCCGTAAGCAGGAGTCGTATTGTTTTCGTAATTTTTTTTCCTCCGGAGATTTTTGGTCAACCGTAGCACAAAAACAGCTGCACCAATCATCATGAAATTTGGCAGGACTGTAGATGAGTCTGACCTACACTGCACCAGCCAATGGTTTTATGATAGACCTCATAATTGAGGAGGGGGCTCCTTTCAAATAGGGTTGTCAGGACATGCAAAAATGCTTAGAACTCAAAAACTGTTCAACATAGGAGCTTCATATTTCTTTTGTTTAGCTCTGATGAAGCTCTATCCACCAGGCCCACCAATCAGTGCCCCCCACCCCCCGGACCCCCAGTTTTTCTGAAAAAGGGGTATCTGGACATACAAAAATGGTTATAGCTCAAAAACTATTAAACATAAGAGCTTCATATTTTCTTTGGTTGTTTACCTCTAAGGAGGGGCTATCCATCAGGTAAACCAATGCCCCCCCCCCCCCGCCACTACAATTTTAGGATGCACCTAGTTGCATGACATTTATTAGGAATAAAGACTTCTGAGTTCTGGTGCATTTGTGTGTGCGGGGGTCATTATGTTACCGCTATGCAGTATCTAGTTTGTTGTCAAAATGTCTCTTGAACAACTCAACGCAATTTAAAGTAAAGTCTAAAAAAATGAACATTGAAAGTAAACCAACAACTGGGTGACCAAACAAAATTTTACCTGCTGCTAACAGAAAAAGGTCAATATTGATTTAGCCCCTTTCTTTGTGTGTTTGCAAGTGTGTATGTTTGTTTCTTTGTCTGTTAGCAAAAAATCAGAATGCCTTTATTCGTCATTGTACAGAGCACAACCAAATTTGTTTTGGTATAGCCCATCCAAGACAAAACAAAATATGCAGGGGGGGGCAGGGGGACATGTACCTGAGGCTGCAGCCGTTGAAAATATCTCATGAACCAATGGATGGATTTGAATGAAACTCTAGAAAATTGTTAGTATTACAACTTTGTAGGCAACCTAATTCAAGATGGCCACCAAGGCTTATTGTATTTCACAAACTCAAAAATGGCTATAACTTTCCATTTACAGATAGTGAGTTGAAGTTTTGTGTTGTAATAGATGTTTTCACAAAACATACGTAATATCTCACATGACACCAATACTGCAGGACACGTTATTTTCTAAATTAGATCAAATGACTGTAATTACATCATTTTTTTATCATCTTGCATCTTAGTTTTAATGGTGACAGGTGATATGTATTCATTCCAGGATTGCTAGGCTTTTAATTATTAAAAGAAATGCATCCACATTGAAACATGTTGCTTGGACAGAAGAGCTTTATCAGCTGCCAAATGCAGTGTCTGTTTCTCAGTTACAGTGTGACTTCTGCTGTCAGAAATCAAAATACTGAATGAAGAACTCGTTCTGATTAATTTTTAATAAACTGAACTCAGATTAGTGTTCAAACAGAATTAAATTTTAATTAAACGATATGTTGGACATGTTGACAGTATCTGTTACAGTTTCCTGATGCTGTTTGTATAATAAGCTGATGTCAGCAGTAATTTTATAGATGCATTCTGATGAGATAATGTATCCCTGCAGGTCATAGCCATGTCAAAGCAGCCGGGTCACGGACCTTCGTCCACTAAGACGTCAGAAGGTGGCTCCTCCTCCGGCGGTGGCTCCACCTGCTCCGAGTCACCGTATTACCGCATCCCATCAGATCGAGACAGCTGCACAGGAAGCAACCCGGGGAGCGTCTCCGGCAGCGGGAGCATCGTCACCATCGACGCTCACGCCCCTCACCATCCGGTGGTGCGCGTGTCGGCCAGCAACGGCAAGCCGTGGGAGTGGAGGAACACCATCAGCGGCAACATGATGGCCTCCGACGCGGCGGCGGGCGACAAGCACCGAGTGGCGCTGCAGCGGCAGGACAATGTCAGCCACTACAGGGACTACCGGACGCTCCCGGTGAAAACAGACTCGCTCTGCTCGTCCATGACCAGCGAGGGTCCCGACGTGGGGCCGGAGCTGCCTCCCCCGCCCCTCCCCACCGCCTCCTCCCCTCTGCCTCCTCCGCCTCATCTGTCGTCGTCTCCTCTTCCTCCACCGCCGCCACCCCAGCCCTCCTCCCCCTTGCCTCCACCTCATTCTGCCTCCTCCCACATGCCTCCGCCTCCCCCCTTGGCACCGCCCTCCCAAATGCCCCCACCTCCTCACCCCTCATCCTCCCATATGTCCCTACCTCCTCACCCGTCCTCTTCCCCGCTGCCGCCGCCTCCTCATCCCTGCACCTCCTCCATGCCTCCGCCCCCTCACCCGTCCTGCTCCGGGATGCTCCCCCCTCCTCCGCACCCCGACCTGCTGATCGACGGCTACGGTCAGGCGCTGTCGCGCTCCTCCACCCTGCCTCGCCGGCCCTCCGTGTCCGCCCGCAGCCACGCCGAGCAGGAGCACTACTACAAGGCCCTGCAGAACGAGAGGATGTTATAGTAAAGCTGAAAGACAACGTTATAAAATGGAACAAAAAAAGAAAAAAAACAAACAAACCAGAGGAAACAGCTGAACAAAGTCATGACAGGTGAAAAGAGATGAGTTTTGAAGAAGAAGAAAAATGACAAGAAGGTTTAAAGCTGTTGAAGAGGCTGAGGACCTTTGGGAGGCCTGTCAGCTTACCCACTCAGCAGGGAATCTGGTTTTTGTTGCCTTTTTCTTCCTTGCGCGCACACACACACACACACACACACACACACACACACACACACACACACACACACACAAACACACACACTGCCAAAACACCTGCCGTGACTGGAGACAGAATCAACAAGACAAGAAAGGGGAATGAAAAATAAAAACACCATGATTCACCTCTGGTTTTTAGCAACCTCTGAGAATGAAAAAAAAACTGCATTTAAAGGAGGATATCACAATAAAACTGTCTGCTACATCGAGTGTCCTTGGAGAGAAAGGATAGCAGTGAGAAAACAACTACAGGCAATACTAACTCATCTAAAACCAGCTATCACACACTGAGAACGTCATCATTTGTCCAGCTGAAGCACTCTTGTGTAAAGAGAGCTAAAACGTAAAGTCAAAAAGACATTTATAGGAATAGTGGGAACCTTTTCGAAGTGATGTTCTGACAAATACATATGAGTAGTTAGTACCATATCAGCTGTATTATTAATCATAGAGCACATGAAGAAAGAGGCAGAAGTCTTTGTCCAGGCTAAGCTAATGGCTAGCCAAACTTCTTTTGCTGATCAGGCCTATAAAACAACTCCTTCTCCAAAACAACTGACCAGTGTCGATAAAATGCTACATTAGCTAGCTTTAAATTGTCGCTGTTTTCTCAATCAAACAGTGTTTGTGTTTGCACCAGCCTCTTAAAATCTGCTTTATACTTCAACAAGATGTGAGACAGTGGCTGTATCCAAAACCACAGGCCGGGTCCTCCAGAGGACCCAGACTACCCGGTCGCGGCGGGCCGAGTCCTTGGTAGACCGGGAAGACCGGAAAAAAAGAGGCTGTGAATTTGGACAGTCTAGCCTCCCCTCCACCCCGGCGTACGTCATGTCACCTAGCAACTGTGACGACGCTAAACAAGCAAACTTAAATCAAAATTAGAAAAATATCAATACATTAGAATTATTAATATCGCAAAACTATAAAATTAACTTAAAGGTAACATTTGAAGAACTAATTGACCCACTGTAGGTGCATGTTTATTTCGCATTTTTTAATGACAAAAATAATATTTAAAAACATGTTTATACAAATGATAAAAGTATTAGAATTACAACTGCTAATTTTTAAAAAAATTTTATATCACCATATTTTTATTTAAAATGTATTCTTTTCTCTCGCTTTGTCCGCCATTACTAGCTTAAAAAAATCTCTGGTCGGGCCGCAATGCATTATGGGATATGCTGGGCCGGGAAGGATCCATCAGACCTGTCCTTCGATTTGGGCCAAAGGAAGGACGTATTTGTCGGCCGCATCGGAGGAGTCTTTGGTTTTGGACGTCCTTCGTCGCGGAGCTGTGACGTATGCGGCCGACGAATTCGGCCTTTGGAGGACCCGGCCCACCGTTTTGGACACAGACAGTGGATCAGGGATTACGTCATTTTGGACGTCTTTGTTTTACTGAGTGTTTATAGTCATGTGGAAGTTGCGGAGGATAAATCATCTTGATTCCTCCCTCTGCCCTCACAGTCCATGTAGCACGTAGCTAAGCACATAAACAGCAACAGTGATAGCAGGATAGATAGTTTTTTTTTCCTTCTGTGATGTATCAGACGTTGGAAAAGAGGCTCGTGTTGCTGGAGGAGAAGCTGTATGAGGAATCGGAAAACCTGAGTTCTTTTTCTTCTTGGCTCTTTTCATATTCAATAGGATCAGATTAGCTGCACACCCATGATGTTCCAACCAATCACATGGGTGTTAAAGGGAGGTAATAAACAAAGGTTATGGAATTTTCCTTACACAAAACTGTAAGCGACTTGTAACAATGGAAGTATAATTCAGCTTTTAGACTGCTCAACAATTCAGTCTGCTGAGAGATGGGAACTGAGCAGACAAGCTGATTGGGCAGACTAGCCGCGTTTCCATTGCAAATGTGCGCAAAACTTTGTTGATATTCTGTTAATGTTGAAAAACACAGTTTTGCAACTGCGGTGTTTCCATTAAGTAAGAAATTATATTAAAGTCACGCGTGAATACGTTTGTTCTCGCGATAAGTCATTACAAACATGGCGGCAATGGATGTAAACACATGCTGCTACCACGACACTAGCGCTCATCATCAGAGGAGACGTCTTTTATCGAGGCTTTCCAGCAACAAGCCCCTACTTGGGAGCGGCTACGTATGTTGTGTTTTTGGGAAATTGTAGTCGGTGAGTTTACTACTTTATTTTACTACTTTGGTGATTTTACAACTACTTCTACTTCCTGTTGTCTTCTTCTTCTTTTTTTGTTTGTTTTTTGCCAGTAGAAACATCTGGTTGTTGATCACGTGACTCCCGTGATGTGAAAAAAGTGTTTCCATTGCAGTTTTGCAAAGTACATCAATTTCGATATGGCCAAAAAACCACCTCATCCTAGCGCAAAAACATGTCAAAAAAATGAAGTTTTTTTTCTCAAAATTGGCATGTTCCCATTAAGCAAATTTATTTTCGAAATTCTAATTTGCACATGTTCATGATCAATGGAAACTAGGGGTGTAAGAAAATATTGTTACACTGAAATATCGCGATATTTCATTTCCCGATACTGTATCGATATTCTAAAGCCCTGTATCGATTTTTTTATTAAGGTTTACAATGTCAACTTTCCTGCCAGCCGTTCATTTTTATGTTGTAGTTCAGCCTCTGACCACTAGTTGGCAGCAGTGAGCCGGCCATTTGGCTACTCTACCTCTTGAGGTAGAGGCCGTTGTTAAGTGTTGGGTGACCATATTGTAAATTAATATTAAAAACTAAAAGCAGTAAAAAATATATTTTCAAACTATTTATTGTCAAATTTAGTTTAATAATTGAAAACATGGATGAAATAAGAAATATGAAACAAATAAAATAAAACACATACAAAGCAGAACACAGCTAAATGTATCAAAAGCATGTCTCTGTAATATTAGAATTTTCTGAGACAATGAATTTTGGTTTTTCATTTTTTTCCCCTGTAAGAGGTTTTTATTTAATAGAATTTTTGGACAAAAAAATCGCAATATATCGCAATATATCGCCTTGCTTACAGTATCGCAATATATCGGGATATATCGTATCGTGACCCCTCTGTTATGATATGTATCGTATCGCCAAATTCTTGCCAATACACAGCCCTAATGGAAACGCAGCTACTGATATGGTCAATACAAACATTCGGTTGAGAAAACAACAACAAACCGAACAAAGAGTGTTTCACAAAAGTAGATGTTTAATATTAAACAATGCAATGGTTTGACTGGTTTGAATTTTTTTTTCAACTAAGTTGTTTTTTTAACCCTGAACATTTATATAATGATGATGATTATGTTTGATACTACTTATAACTATTTGACAGAACATTACTTTACAAATCCCCAGTCTATCCCTCTTGACTATTGGCTATAATTTAACCACTGTTCACAAAAGCATGTGCATTTTTACCCCACTAAACGAACAAACCAAATGTGGAGTTTTGTTCTGAGCCTATCAGTATCTGTCAGGAAGAAGCAGCTTACAAGAGGAGCGTTTCTGGGTGCTGAAGGAGGTGGGAGTCTAAGGAGGATCATGCAATGTTAGGCAAACCCTGAACAGACGTCACAGAATAGATTGCTGCTGCAAACACGAAAGGCATTAGAATGAAGAGAAAAGAGTTTCTAAAATGGAAGAGGGCAGCGAGGCCACGCGGCACACAGAGCCAGGCAGGCATGTTAAAACTGCCACAGAACAGAGCTTGTAGCTGCACTGAGAAGATTAGCAGTTGTTTATTAAACCAGGATAGCTCTCTCCTCTCACTGAGCCCTCTGGCGAGCCACGGTAGCGTTGCGGATGTCAGTGGCAAGATGCCGAGCCAATGCTGACTCTCGGCATCAGTTCCAGCATGTCGACTGGAGAAGGTGGGGGACGGATGCAGCTAACTGGCTTTACAGGACAGGAATGAATCATTTTTATGAACAGCTTTTGAGTTTTCTGGTTGTGGGAAGGAGGGAAACTGTGTTTTCATGCATTCTTGTTTTATACGAAATCATGACAGGCAATCATTTGCAAATCTGTCCATCCACTGCTTATAACTTAGTTTCAACATGGACTCCATTCAAAATCTATTGTGTAGGTGTAGGTGATAAAATGCCACTTTAACGAACCCTTTTCAAAGTGTCTCTTATGTAGTGGGAAATAAACAAAAGATGAAGGGTGTTAGTTCATTTTCAACTAAAACTGATAGAACTTATTGCTCCTTGTTTACATTAAAAGATACATCAGAATTTATTAGTTCACAGATAATGATAAAAACAAAGTTTGCAATTACAATTACAATTTCAAAGCTGATGCGGCATATTGGGCCTCATGCAAGAACATGTTCGTATTCTTATCCTAAATTTCTCTTACTTTTGTTCATATGAAGGGTTCGTACGAACATGTCACGTCAGATTCAACAAACTCTTCTATCTTCAGGAAAAGTGTGTAAATGAGCTGCGTAAATTCCACCTGTTCGTATCCAGCTGCTCGTGCACGCGAGAGGAGATTAGCATAATTACCACCTCAAAAACACCATATAAGGCTGTGTTTCCTGCCTCAGATACAAGGAAGTGTCCATTCATGAAAATGACAGTGAAAACTAAAATGAACTTTACAAGTTCAGAGATTGAAGTCCGTCTGTCAGAGATCCAGAAAAGAAAATCTGTCACTTTTTTAGCAGGTCAGCTGTGGAATAAAAAAGAGCTGCTAAAAGTATAAACAACTGTGTTAAATCATTTTCATTTATTCAGAAGACGCACCGTACCCCCCCGCGCGGTCGCAGGTGGTCTCAGATGCGGGTTTGAAATAAGCATTTTAAAATGTTTTCAAAATACTGTAAGTCTGGCACTTTGGAGAAAATCCAGGACTCGCTGGAGGGATTACGTATCCCCTCTGGCCTGGGAACGTCTCAGAGTCCCCCAGGACGAGCTGGAAAGTGTCGCTGGGGAGAGCGGGGTCTCTCTGCTGCTGCCCCCCGCGACCCGATCCCGGATAAGCCGGCCCGATGGACAATTTATATTGTTAGTCTAAATTATTACATTTAAAATTATAACTCTAATTCAAACAGAATAACCTATTGTCAACATAATTATGGAGTGTGATTTATTTTCAACTCAAAATATCTTCAAACTAAAAATAAAGTTGTTAGGGAGGAAAACCCATCTGGATAACAGCAGACTGACTGCTGGTAAAATATACGACAGGTCTGGACCACTCCTGAATTTTGTTCGTATCTGAAAAAAATCTTAGAATACGAAAACATTGGTGAATGCCACAAATTCTCCTAAATCACTTGTACGCACAACTTAAGAACAAATCTGTGCGTACGAACGGTTCTTGCATGAGGCCCAGTGTGTTTCATTTTGATGAAATTGTTCTAGTCTGTTAAATAAAGTAAGTCTCCAATAACAAATTGATAAACAAACAGGTTTAATTCAAGTCAGATTACATTCAAACCAAACCCAAACCTATTTATTTCATCCCAAATAAAAGAGCTACCATCCCTCCACCTTTCATGTCAGAGTTTCAGACTGACATCAGAAGTTATTTTCTGAAATAATGGGGGACGTAACAGTTCAATAAGTCAGCTGTCTTTTGTGGTGATTTATTATCAAAAAAAAAAAACAAGAAATAAAGAAATGATGCTATATCATGGCCACAAGCCCAACAGCCGTACCGGGCGTCTGACAAAGTTGTGGCTCCCCATAACACAACTGAGAACAATAAATGTGTTGAAGTTTGCTCTGTTAGAACCCAGAAGGAGCCAGAAAAAGTGCTCTACTATTTTATCATATAAAATAAAAAAATCTTATCTGTCAGTAGCCATTACACATTTAGATTCACAAGTATGATGTGCTCTTCTAAACTGTCGTGGTTAAAGCATGAAAATAACATCGTGCACATTTCATGCATTGTTGCAAGAATTCACATTCAAACTATGTGTTGTGATTGACTTTCGGCTACAGCCACGCCTAATTTTAGCAAAGTATCCTTAAAATTAAACTTGCTATAGCTGTATATGTGTCGCCTAAATTTGATTAGCTGCAGTGGCCATCTTGAATTGGACAGACTCCAAAAGTGAATTATTTGTAGATGTACAACCAGCAAGTCTTTCTTGAAAGTTTCATTAAAGTCTAAATGATGGTTCAATAGATATTTTGCTAACAAACAAAAAGGCTTGACTCCCAGCAGTTATTACTAAAGTTTTAGGAAAAAAATTTATGCAATGAGTAGGTTTTGGAGTATGTGTTGGAAATTATCTTCAGCTATAATAAAACCAAATTGTAGCACAAAATCTGTAAATTTAACAAAATTCTAACAATTTTTATGTTTTCCAATATCACTTGGCTGTTTCAGCCATCTTGAACTGGGTTGGCCCCAAACATCAAATACTCCTAGATTTATATTAAGTTATTATTTCCTGAAAGTTTCAGTAAAACTCATGTAGCAGCTCTTGAGATATCTTGCTAACAGATATGCAACAACGCCTTCAGGTTTTGGCCGCATAAACGTTTCACTTTCGTAAAGACGTGATTTTGCCTTTCAGTCTTTTATAATACAAATACAGAGTCACAGTTTACAATAAGTGAAGGTTTTACTTGTCCAAATGTTTCTAGTTTCTTTAGGAACTGAAAAAACAAAATGCTGCAGTGAACAGGTTTATGATTTTCTGAAAGCATTTTGTTTTTAATCCAACCAACCACATATACTACATTTGATCATAAACAATTTTGCTTAAAGTTAAAATGTAGATGGGTCATCAACAGTTATACTTATTTGGGAAAAGGGGGATTTTTATGACCATTTTTCACTAAAAAGTTATGAAAACCGTTAAATCTGGTTAGCCAGATGAACAATATTAAACTCTGAATGATAATATGTCTTGTACCTATATGAATTATACCATGTTGTATAAAGTTACCTAAATTTTCTTTGTCTCTTTTAATAACAACCTACAGACCAACCCAACCCGTTTCATATAAAAATAAAAACTGCACTGCAACAAAAAACAAGTCGGCACACAGATGAAGTTGGTGTCCACTCATGCGACATAACAGCTGCAGGAACCAGGAACTGTTTGTGTAAAGTTATTGAAGGAGGAGGCCGTGTTAAATGGAACAAGTTGTATTTCATAGAGGTGCTCCTCGTCTGAGGAGTTGATAGATAAAGTTGCTTGTCAGTTTGTGCTGCATGTGTGTACAAGTGTGTGTCTTTTTTAACTTCTGTGCTTTAAAGGGGTGGTTTGTATCTTTTGAAGCAGGTTCTGCCGAAAGTTCGTCAACAGTAAATGTCTTACCTGTGGCAGATAAGTCTTTGAACAGAGGAAACAGTCTTGAGGCTTGTCCAGGCTGGGCAGAGACCAAAATATTTTGCTGCCCTTTTTTAAACAGCTTCAAATTTCAAAAGTTGTGTTATATAAATTTTACACTAGCTTTTCTTTTCCCCAATATTCCAGCAGAAATATAATAATCCCATTGGAAGAGCTGCATTTAGCTGCTGCTACTATTCATGCTTCCAATTAATGACAGAATTCTGTATGAATTTATGGTCTGGTGACTGGTGAAGAAACTCTTCAGTCATCTTTCATGCAAGAGTTTTAGAAAAGAATAGTCATCTAATTATGAAAAACAGCTATTTTGATCAAACTTAAAAAATAACATTATGCGCAGTATCATGTAATATCTTACATTGGAGTGCGTGTTGTAAATAGCTATGTTTATGTACATAAGTGAGTGGAATAAATGGCCAATTTGAACAAAAATGGGCCGTGTAAACGCCACGATCAAAATGAATTTGTAATCCGAATGAGCTATACTACACCTCTTTTAGAAACTTTAAGAAAGCTCAAAATTATAAAACTTCTTGATGGTTGAAAGTGTAGAATCACAGAGTGCAGTAACGTCTCCACCATTATTAAAACCTGGCGCGGGTCTGTTCTCAGCACTCAGAAGACACACAATGTTTGTTTTTGTTCATCATCGAAGTAGAACTTTTTCTTCTGTGGTGTATTTAAGGAAACTTTACAACTCTGCACTTGTAAATGGTAAATGGCTTGAACTTATATAGCGCCTTATCAAATCCACTTGGACCCCAAGGCGCTTTACATTTCAGGCATTAACCACCCGCTTCAGATGTTATCATCCATTAAATGGACGTTATTAGCCGTTATAGTCCCATAGAATGGCTTCAGACTGTCAGCTGGTTAGTATGAGGCATAAAACCACTAAGGTTTTTTTATGCAATCTGGTTAATATAAGGCCTAAAGCTACTAAGGTTAATTTTATAGAAAATGACATGGGCTACGATAAAGTAGACCGGACTCTGGCAGTAGCAGATTGTTGCATTCCAACGTATATGGCACTGGTAACCCACTAGGGGGCACTGTTGGGACAGTCTGAAGCCATTCTATGGGACTGATAACCGCTAATAATGTCCATTTAATGGACTGACAACATCAGAACTGGCTGCATTCACCCATTCACATACTGATGTCAGTACTTCTGTTCTGAATAAAAGCCTGGTGCGCTCATCATGATCAGATTAATAAATTTGTGCTCATATAAAGGATTAATCTGACTACATTTCAATCCAATCAAAGAATTTTGCGCGTATAAACTATTGTCAGCTACTACAACGCCAAATCCTATTTCTGTATTAGTAAACATGGTGAAGTACAGCCATTTTCTTGTTGACTCAGGTCAAATAGATGTGGCCATGATTTTGAATTTGGTTGATAACTTCAGTTTTTAATCACACTAATCTTATGACTACTCTCTGAGACTTTCATTATAAACTCTGGTTTATGAGATATTTGGCTGATGGACTAACAGGGCTGACTCCAAGACTGTAAGCAAAGTTATCAGGAAAAATTGCTGTGCTCCTTTCTTTAAGGGTTGCCACAAACAAGTGAACTTGCAGGAAAAATTTGGTAGTGGGTTTTTTTGTTTTTGTTTGTTTTTGTTTTGGCAGACGTCCTTGATTCAACCTGGACTCGAACCTGCAGCCTCAGGATGTTGACTGCAGCACAATATAAGCTGTGCTTAAAGTATGTGATGATGCTCACCCCTTGGTCCGAATGTCGAGTTTAATACCTGTAAAATTAGTCAAACCCATTTTTGTGTTTTCTAAAGTCAGCCATCTTGAAGTAGACACTTTTAGATGTACATCCAATGATTACTTTACAAAAATTTCATTAAAATCCATTAGGGGATTCCTCAGATATTTTGCTAACAGTAGAAACAAACAGATAAGGGCAAAAGCAATATAACAGATTGATGTAAATCTGACAAGTGTAAAAGTTTCTATAATTTAGTTTTGTTCAAACTTCCAACAATATTTCGCCATTCAGGTTCAAGTTTTGGTCTCGTTCTCACTCAGACAAGCAATTTGCTCACTAGTTGGGATAAATTTAAACTCAGTTTCTCCAAAACCTGAGGTTTATTTAAATTGCTACAGGTCAGGTATTTATTGTTCATAACTTTTCCACATAAACCTGCCTGAAAGATCTGAACTATTCCTTTAAGTCTGCGTTGTTACCTTTTTAACAGATTCATTTTCTGGTGAATTTGCCCCCATTATACTGTAAAATACTTGACATTCCTTAATATTGTTAATTCTGCTGTTATCTGATATAATCCTGCAGTCCTTTTTTTACGGACTAATGTTTTTTTTTAAATGTGGTGATGTGTAACATTAATAAACTTGTTGAATAATAAAAAAGACTTTTTTAAGTGAGATTTGACTTCGTAGTGCTTGAAAAGGCCGTGTGCAAAGAGCCGAGCGGGGCCAAAAATAGAGCGAGTTTGGGGTCGATGCTGCTGCAGCGTTTACCGTCACTCTAATGAAAAGGATCTTCTTCCATTGATCCTCGGGTTCTGGGAGTTCTCGAAACGCTCCTGGTGAATGACCAGACGGATGCAGCTCCAGCATGTTTGGAGCGGAGCAGTTTGCTGCTTTCTGCGTGGGTTCGGTGTCGGGTTTCAGAAAGGAATTTTGCCAGAATGCTGGTCAATCCCAAATGACCTGCCGGCATGAAACAAACATCCTCTGAGACCTTAAAACACAAAAATACTAAAAAGAGCTTTTTTTACTGTTTATTTCCCACTTCAGTCACAACTTTAAATGTTTGCTATCGAACACGCATGAAGGCAGAAATTATGCAGATAAAAGAGGTGAGGTCATCCACTCGTTCACAAACCTCCCTGAAGACACGGGTTCGTGTCGAATGCTGCAGAGCTGGGAGCTGTGTGACGGGGCGGCGGGGCAGATGGTGTGCCGAGGCCTGAGGACAGTCAGTCTGTCCATGACTCACACTCAGCAAGCTAACAGCTCTTCCTCTCACCATCCTCTCCCCTCTCGTCTCTCATTTGTGGCCCACAAAGCGCCAGTGCACGTGTTGCAGGAGGCAAATGAAAAACCAAGCTGTGTGTGCGGCGCGCGCACGTCTGTTTTTGTGCGTCTGTGGGAGAACGGCCGAGCAGGACAAGCTGCTTACGCTCTTTTCAGGGCTGATTTACCGCTGCAGCACGGGACAAAGGCCTTTTTGTGTCCAGCCTTTGTTGTCTCACTCAGTTTGTCACCATCTTTCTGCCTCCTGCTGCCACATCCAGCTCCTTGTGGACATTTCCACACGGAGGAGGTGGATTTGGGACTCTGCAGAGTATCTTCTGTAATTTTTTGCAGCCTCTTGAAAGAGTGAGATACTGCTGTGCTTTAAAAATAATTCTAGTTTCAGACTAATTAATAAAGTGGGTCATTTTCCTTAAAAATAAGGCCCCAAATGCATCATTAAAGGATTGTCACATCCTGCTGCATTAAATATTAAATATAGTCATTCAAATGTTATTTTTGTGTCTTTCTTTCTATTTTAAAGGAATATGTCATAACTTTAGAAGTTCTATATTCTATATTGTCCTGATGCATCTCAGTAATCCAGGTAAAAAATCAAAAACAAAGCAGCCACTGCGCAAAAGAATGTCCCAACACAGACGAGCTACATCTAATGGCCAGAACTCTGCAGTTTTCACTCATTTACAGGCCAGCGGTCACTCTTTCAGAGATGNTATATATATATTGGTTATAATGAATCTGACAAATCCTGATTATAACTTTTAGCTATTTTTGTTTGCTGCACAAATAAACAAAGCACAAAAGTAAAGAAATCTGTGGTTTGGTTGATTGATTATTTAATTGGGCTCAACCCACAAATGGATTTCTCTAAAAATGAGGCATCATTTAAGAGTTTATATTTCAATGTTACTGTATAAGATATAAGCAATAATCAACTAAATACAAATTTCCTGACTTTGTGGGTTATGTTTATGTAAAATCTATAGTTACCTAACTCTTCAAGATAAATATGAAAACATGTCATCAATTTATACTTAACCCATGGAGCAGAGTCATATTGTAAACTTACAGTTGTTGAGCGGACGCCGGAGTATGACAGGGTGTCAGGGAAACTCCCTACAAGCTTTGCTTCGTAAGCATCGTCACCGTTCATGTTGGTCACAGTCACCTGCAGAGCCAAGTCCTTCTTCTCATAGTTCAGACAAAACTCAGGGATGTTGTTTTCACTGCAGAAACACAGTTTTCATTGACTTCAAACACTCTTTGTGAAAATAGAGCGGGCTTTCAGTCACAGCTTGATGCATTGTTAAAAGGTAAATATCACAAAACAGTTATTTGCTTGTCACATTAAAGTAGCGTAAAAAATAACAGCCCTGTGTAATTTGTGTTCTAATGCTGATACTCTGTGCAAAGTCATCATTGTATTGCATTAAAATGAACTAAAAGTTCCATTCATTTGCTCAGTTCTTTGGAAAACTGCAATTTTAGCCTTTCTTATCATGATCTTAAAGCAGTGGTAATATAGCATTTTTAACCTTTTATTTAACGGAGTGAACACCTCCTGGTTGCTTTGTTTGTAGTGTAGACTGTACTCCATCTTCAGGTTGCTGCGGCAAATCTTATCATCCCTGCATCCCTCCTTTACAAAGTTCACCTGCAACAAAAGGATGCATAAATAACAAAATGTGTGTGTGTGTGTGTGTGTGTGTGTGTGTGTGTGTGTGTGTGTGTGTGTGTGTGTGTGTGTGTGT